TGTGTATTTATACATTTATCAACTTTTTTTCATATATATTAATATCTATGTTATTGTTATAGACCGTAACGACTTATTTAGTTATTTACCCATGTATTCTATGTCCCAATATTGGGATCTTGTTTGAATAAATTATTATTATTATTATTCCAATGGTCGGATCCCGACCATTGGAATGTAGGCCTGCGCAGAACGTATGCGCAGAACGGACTTTTTAAGAGTGAATAATTGAATAATGTGAAAGACTGAGATGATCGCATTCTTACTCTTGAAAAGGTGTACTGGTCTACCGCTAATATTGGAGTTTCAAAATTCCTGCCACATATCTTGGTGTTATTTTGCAATATCTTCAGCAGATTTTTAAGGTCATTTTAGCTTTGGATTTGTAAGTAACTATCTAACCGTATACATGTCCGTGAATGACACATACAGTTTCTTAAAAGTATCGACTAATATATTCGTTTATCCGTCTATCCGGTATCCGGTACCCGTGGTTTCTACCATGCCTACTAATATAATGTATAGATAACATGTATGAGACATAATAGTTATTAACAGGTTTCTGATAATTTTGGTATAGGATTCAGCATTCATGGGCCTTAATATTAAAATAATATATAATATATATAGTTTGTATATTATCAATAGAAGGGGAATGTCATTAGGACATTTATACTGTGACAACAATATTCAATATTTCAAAACATAGACTCGAATGCTCGTCGAGTTCATAGAAAAAGTTGTAATTTGTATTGTCTTGTTTGAATGATGGCAAGAGAGTAGTATACTTTTCCTTTTACAGTCCTATACGGCTATAGAAAGCCAGACGACGCAGTGGAGGAATTGATTGTACATATTTTTGCACTTTGTCTTTGCATTTCTGACATTGCAATATATATTTTCGCATATAATTTTAATTTAATGTTAACATATTAATTACACATACCTTTTTTATCACTTTCTAATACTCTTGCTCTCACTAAGTACAGATCAAACTTCGTAATTGAGGTTCAGAAGAAAGCACTCAACAAAAAGTTTGTGATTATAATAATTCTCGTGAGCAACGTAACACTGATATATAGACGCCTTCCACTTCTAATAATCCACTTATTGCTGTACTTAGCTCGTATAGCCGTATACAGTGATGTCTCTTTGTCAATCTACATTCCACGAATTTTTCACATCTGCTGGTACTTTATCAATATTTTATCAAACAATTACCGCTCGCTCCACTGATCGAAACTTGCATACTGCTTCAGTTTATAGTTAGCGCAGCTGTTGTATATCTGCTGCAAATATGGATTTAGTAGATTACTTAAAGCGAGTATTATATATTTGGCGCGCCCTTGGTGCAATTAAACGCACTAGACACCTAGATAAGGTAAAACTAAAAGGAAATTATTCGATCTGGGGGAGCACGCAACTTAGTAGAGATATTGATCAACATTGTCTCGTTCTTATAGTCTGATCTGTCTGTATATTTCAGAAGCATACATTTACAATGGAGCATCTCGTGGATTATAACCTTATTAACCTTAGGTTATATAGGATGTCTAGAATTTTTTAATGTCACAATTTTTTATTAGGAATTATCACCTTTGCCTATATTTCTGTTGAGTTATCGGATTAAAAAAGCTACCCTATAAACAATACTAAGACCTAATATATAGAAAAATAAATAAAATCATTGTAAAAAAATTGTACTTGTCACTTAAACTCCAAGTAATCACTAACATATATGCATTAGGCAATCACACGCAGATGGTCCAAAAAGTCTGGCAAACTAGGCTACTACTAAAAAGCGATACAGCGATACAGCGATACAGGAACCGGAACCTGGAACCGGAACCTGGAACCGGAACCTGGAACCGGAACCTGGAACCGGAACCCGGAACCGTGCGTAATTTATGCAAATTAGAGCATTTTGCACCACAGGGGATATACATAATAATAATCTACAGGGGGGGGGGGGATTCAATGATAGTATAAAATATTATATACAACTAACAAGGCATTTTGATTTTTAAGCAAAACAAAGAATGAACATCGTTGTACCACTTTTGCCTGTTTTGATATGACTGCATGACACATTTTATTTAGCCCCCGCACTTGATTATGAAATGCCAGCAGACAGAGAATGAAACGACGGCACGCAAAGCAGATTGCGCTGAATTCTCGAGCAATTAGAGTGTAGTGTATGATGCAATCCAACCGATTGAATGTGCTATATACGCTGCCGCCGGAATACGCGAATATTGCGAATATGCTGCATCAGTACTAAAAATATCCGCTTGACTGGCAACGATACAAACATGAATGAAGTTATGAAGGTAACTTCAATGTCAATAATGCATTTAATAATGAAAAATTGAAATGTCTGATTGAAATTCAGCGTCGAAATTCACTTAGTCGTGTCTCTTACCCTATATAATATAGTACTATCAAGTACCGGAGTACGTCTATATGTTTTCGACGCTGAATTTCAATCAGACAAATCAATTTTTCATTTTAAATGTATTTTTTACATTGGAGTTACTATACCTTCATATAAACTTCATTTATGTTTGTGATTGATGTTCAAACGGATATATTTCGGCATGCAGCATATTTATTTTATTTATTTATATTCGCAATATTCGCAGTGTATATAGCATATTCAATGCTGGGTTGCATCATACACTACACTACACTCTAATTACTTAATTTAGCGCACAATTGCTGCTGAATCCAGCGCAATCTGCTTTGCTTGCCGTGGTTTCCCTTCTCTGTCTGCTGGGATTTCATAATCAAGTGCGGCGGCCAGTAAATAAACTAAGTGCATCACATGCAGTCATATCAAAACAGACAAGAAGAATGGCCGCGCAATTACGAAACATGTTTTACTGTGTAGTGCTACAACGATGTTCATCTTTGTTTTGTTTAAAAATCAAAATGCCTTGTATATAATATTGTACTTTATCATTGAATTGCGCCCTCCCCCCCCCCCCTGTAAATTATTATTATGTATATCTCCTGTGGTGCAAAATGCTCTAATTTGCATAAATTATGCACGGTTCCAGGTTCCGGTTCCAGGTTCCGGTTCCTGTATCGCTGTATCGTTGTATCGCTGTATCGCTTTTTAGTAGTAGCCATACATTCAGAGTGGCGTAGAAAGCGCCGGATATTGAAGGCACATGAGACGGAGACGAGACACAGACAAACAAAACAGATAAACAAAACAAATTAACACAATACCAAACAAATAAATAACAGAACAACCAAATAAACAGACAAAGAACGAACAAACAATTAAACAAACACAAATACAAACAGACAAACAAACCGAGGTTAAAACACACCTTTCAATAAAAAGCAACAGGTCTTTTACTTACTCGAATAATAACATTGGGGGTCCAAGTTCGTCTTTGACTAACACTCTAATAGTTGGTGTTAAATATATAGTGAATTCATTATCTGTACGGGGAACTGCATATGACAACACAGTGGGCTCCTCAGAACGTTTCTGCGTTTTAATCCAGAAACATGACGTGATTGCATTTAATTCTTTTTCAGGAACAGCAGCCTGTAATGTGTTTAAATATTGGTATAAATTACGGCAGTGCCAGTGGGTGGGGGTGGGAGTCGATCAAGGTAGCGATGAAGATAATCAATACAGAAAACCGTTGTTTATTTTTGCCGGTAAAGTTATCTTTAATTTGGCGAGCTCTCTGTTTTTCGATAGTAAAAGGTCCCATGTCCAATGAATGAACTTTTGAACAAAAAAATGGGCAAAACAGGAAATTGTGTGTTGTGGAAGTGGAAACACTGATTTCGGTGTATGCAGGTTCTTCAATTTCCAATTTCAGCTTCAAACAGTCCCTTAAGGCCTGATTCCACGAGGCGGAATTTTTCGACCGAAACGAAATTTTTCTTTGTCTTTTTACAATTAGTTCTGCTCGAGAGCTCATGAAACAAAGAGAAATTTCGATTCGGTCGAAAAATTTCGCCTAGTGGAAAACCGCCTTTAATTAAGGCTCTTTTCTACTCATCGCAAAAACAGCTCGCAGCGAGCTTGCGAGTACTAGCGAGTAACTCACAGCGAGCTTGCGAACACTCCGGTGCAGCAAAGTTAAATCATTTGAACAATATTTTCTGATCGCGTGAACAAAAAAGACCAGTACCAATGGAATTCGTTGAAAATATCACATCGTTGAAAATATTCGTTGAGAATATCATCGGGCGAATCCAAAAACGTTTTACATACTTGAGACGTCTTCTCCTACGTCGTCTTAATAAATAAAGTAAGCCTGGGCAAAAGGCGCCGATTTAACTAAGCGGCCGCCATTTTGCAAACACGTAAATTAGTCACGGGAGATGATGGAATGTGGAAATTGACCTGCGAGCTTGCGAGGACTCGCAGCTCGCTGCGAACTGTTTTTGAGATGAGTGGAAAAGAGCCTTTAAGGTGCTTTATATTTACGCAATCTGACAGGTCTGACCGGAAATTCCGTCTCTGTCAACGTTGATTGGAAAGATCTGAGCCAAGTTGTTTGATCCAAAATGTGGGCCTACGTAATGTGGGCCGATCCAAAATATGGGCCTACCGAATTGTAGGCCTACGTTTTAAAAACTTTCGCTTTCGCTTAAATACTTACAATAAATTTATAGACAGTGTGAACTATTAAACAAATCACACGTTATTAACACTGATGAAGATCCGCGCTTACGGATCGAAAGCTTTCCAATTATAAATAGACATGTTGTTTCCACAAACCAAAACTTATAAGTTAAGCTTGCTACTTCGAAAGCAGCTTACTTCTCAAATGATTTGAGATACCACCAAAAATATCGCACAGAGCTTAAATTTAATAAATCGGCTTAATAAAATTAATTTAAATCAACACACTCGAGATATACTATTGCTCTAGTCAGGATTCGAGCCAGGACTCGAGTCAGGACTCGAGCCAGGACTCGAGTCAGGACTCGATCAAAAAAATGCGAAAATACGTGGAATTGCCATTACCCAATGGTTTTGTTTCATAAGACACGTTACGCAGGCTAGCTAAATGTTCTACTACTAGCAAATTACTACAACCTTTCAATAATTACGCTAATCACCTCGTGTAATTTACCAATGAGAGCGAGGTTCCAATCCAAGACCAAAAAGTATGTGTAATTATCGAAAGGGTGTATTTGGTAATACAGTTAGCCAGCGTGGCCGGCTCTTCTATAATACAGTTTGGTGATATTGGCGTCTATTACAGGAAAATAAGGCAGGGAGATTATCCTACTCTTTGACGAATGCTAAGCGGCAATGAGCGGCAACAAGTATCTGTTTTGTAAAGAGCGAGAGACTACTAGTGATGGGCAATACCAACTGTTTTAGTCGGATAAAATACAGGCCGGATATTTCCCTTTTTTGGATATCGTTATTTGTGCGATATATCAAACACAAACAACAACAATGGTATTGACTATTGTTTCATTCACTGTCTTCTGACTCTAATAACCGTTACAGTTAGCCAAAGTCAGATGAGATTAACAGCTCTTTTTTTTTCAAATATACCGTATATAAACTTTCGTTCCTTAATTCTTTTATCGACTCTGGTGGAAAAAGGCGGGAAATTGATTTCGTAAACAAGTTCTCTCACTTCCCATTTGCGAAATATCACTTAGATTATCGATAAACAATTCCTCAGATTCAGTTAAATGTCCTTACACATTTCGCATTGTTGGTGAACGAATAGTCTAAATTTAAGGAAAGTTCCTTAAAAGTGAGAACGCTGTTGGTAAATTTTCATCCATCAAAATCACCTGACGTCATTTTTGGCTCGAGTCCTGAATCGAGTCCTGGTTCGAGTCCTAGCTCGAGTCTTGGCTCGAGTCCTGGCTCGAGTCCTGGCTCGAATCCTGACTCGATATTTAGGTACCCTCAACACACTCGTTAGGTCGATAAGGATTGTGCTAAAATGATATAGCATGGATTGCAACAACTATACTCACCCGACTGGTACTGTTTTCATATTTCGCGTACTCAACAGTATTCCCTCGGAAGTACAATGCATCCGCAGTACCTAGATAGGTACAAAATAGTTTCGAAGTTTATTAAAACCTTTTCTTTTGAACAAAACATCACACACCGCCCAGCAACGAGTGTTTTCGCCGATTGTACTTATGACCATCAATTCAGCTAATCAAACATATATTGCTCTTCAAAATCAATAACACAGTCCTAAATTTGCTCAAAAAAATAAATAGGAAGTTACTTTTATTTATTATTAATTCAATCTTACAAACAAACAAACAAACAAACAAACAAACAAACAAACAAACAAACAAACAAACAAACAAACAAACAAACAAGCAAGCAAGCAAGCAAGCAAGCAAGCAAGCAGCAAGCAAGCAAGCAAGCAAGCAAGCAAGCAAGCAAGCAAGCAAGCAAGCAAGCAAGCAGCAAGCAA